GTGAGGCGGGGCTGGAGAGGGCGGTGAGGTGAAGCGCAGTCCCGGTGGAGGTACCGCGGTCTTTCACACTGCTTAAGAAAGATACTCAGATGAGTCCCCCCAGCTGTTGTTGACACGGATGGCAGCGCTGCCTTGAAAGACGGAAGACACGAGGTGTTTCCCAGGCGTCTTCTGTGAGTTTTTGGGTTTTTTTTTTCCCACTCCTTTCCCTTCCCAGCGGGAGGCAAAGGAGGCATCGGGAGAGTTCATCAGATCCGTGCATCTGCCCTTACACAGGATCACCTCTGGTTAGCTCATTTCTGAACAGTGCATGCCTGTCACTAAAGACCACAGGCGTTGGAATGTTCCCCTGGCAATGCCAGTGCTTGCTGACTTTAGTAGAAAGTATTCTCTCGTGTCTGAACTCAATCTTTCTTGCAACATGTCCACAGTGGTCATGGATAACACTTTCTCTAATTACGTGTTTGAAAGATGTTGCCATGACTTTTCTCCGTTTCCTTTTCTTTAGATAAAGCAGCCCTAAGTCCTTCCATTCCTTCCATATTTTTGGAGTCCTTTGTAATTCTCCTCGGTGCTCTTCTGTGAAGTATCACCAGTTGATTCACAACTTCCTTTCTGTAATGTGGCCAGAACTGGGTGTCGCATGCTGAGAAACACGATGAGATTTGTGGTGTTTTAGAGGTCAGACTTCTGTTTATACTACGGGCTTTTTCAAAGCAAAATAAATTRTACGGGGGTGACATAATACATACATACATTTTCAGGACTGAGATAAAAGTCATTGGAATGAGGTGAGGATCATTTYTGTCTCCAGCTTGCCTACTTTTTGACTGTTTGTTTATTTATAAGTTTAAGGGACTATATTTTAAATCTTGCTTTGCTTTTCTATTTTAGCTTGACCAGTTGTTTTTCTGAATTAGGTATGATTTTTTAAGGCACATTTCCATTTAAAAGTAAGAATTATGATACTCCATAGGACATGCTAACTAACTTATTAATAAATACGCTGTAATTCTTACTCCGAACAGTAGAGAGCATTATATCACTAAAGGTTTCAATTCTGGCTCCTTTAGAGGTGTTTTCTCCGGGACATGGTGAATATACTTAAGAAAATGAACATGTATCACCATCTTCTTTGGTTCTGGATTAACAGACTGATGAAATTTATCAAAGATTGTCAAACTATGGAAATGATGAACGTTTTACACCTTTAATCTGTTTTTYYTTTGTTTTCAGTTGTGAAAGTATAAATACCCTAGTAAGGGTGTTCTCTAGGAGCACAGAACATCTTGGAGCTGGAATAAACCAATGAATAGTGAAAAGATTGTGTGAGCCTTGATTCTTCCCTGGAGTATCCCTATTTTGGTGGGATACTCTTCATCTCTCATCTCTGTGACTGGGCAACCAAGGACCCCTGCTGCACCCCAATCTGCTACAAACACTAGAAAGAGCAAGGCTGATATTTGGGAAAGCAGCAAAAGCTGACCAGGCAGAAAAAGCATGTGTAACACTCCTGTTTACCATCCCTGGCACCTCCCAAAATAATGAGTCATTTCCCAAAATCATCAGCCTGCCTTAGAAAAAGTATCTTTGCAATTGTTTCCTGTCTCTTACAACTTCTAGAAAGCAATGCTCTTTTTTCTCGTGTTATCAGGTTTATCATAAATGGAATTTAACAAATTCTTTCTTTTGAATTTTTAATATAAAATTGTGACTCTGGTGTAGTAACTAGAATTCTCTTTGCTCAATCTCAAGAATATGGTTAAGTTGAGAGGCTCAGAGCGAGTCACAGTGGTAGGAAGGAGGGGGTGACACTGGAGCTGGGTATGGAGAGCCCTTTGTTCCCCCGTGATCTTACACAATAAATTACCCTTACACAGATTAGTACCGTTGTACCCTTGTCAGTGCAGCCTGTGCTCTGGGCTCCTTTTGGAAGCATGGTGAGTGTCAAGGCTGAACAACTTGGCTCCAGTGCTTATCACCAGCATTTCTAAACACATCTTCCCCTGTGCTGTGCAWAGGTGCGTATCAGTTTGTATTAACTGACCTAACTCCTTCATTTTCTCTCCCCTGTTCCCTGCATTTCTCCCTTTTCAGTTTCTCTGAGYCTGGCCACTGGAAGACAGGCAGTAGTTTTTCCTGGTGCTTGAGATATGAACTTGTACAAGTCCATGCCACATGGCAGTAAAATGCTAAGGAATAGGGACTAACTTGATACCTCTTGATCTGTTCCAGTCACCCTAGAAGTAATATTTTAAGTTTTTAAAAATTTSCTGGAAGAACAGGTTTGCCTTTCCTGACCTCATTCCTAAAATATTTCTTGTGTAACTTCTCGAAAGTAGCAAAGTACAAGGAAATAGTAGTGAAATGGGAATGAATCACAAGACTAATCAACAAATGCAGCCCAATAGTAGCAAAAAAAAAAAAAAAAANGTTGTTCTCCTGCCAGCTTCCTTTTGGCTCTCATTTAAAGGTCAGAGACATCCAGCTTACTGACATCAGTGGGAAACTCCAGTTTCCCCTAGGAGTGAGTAAATAACTTCAGAATAACTTCAGTGGTGTGTTCCAAAGCTATATGGTGAGTTTAGAAGGCAATTTGTGAGGATATTCTTAATAATGATAAAGGACCTGGTTACAGATCCTGCCTGGTTGAATCCTAACACAGTCAGTGCACAAATCCACCTGCACAAACTGGGGCCCCTTTTCACAGTGCCAGAGCTTGATTCTTTTCCACGGTGTATGTGGGGATCACTGCTGGACACTTAGTTCAGACTGGTTGCTAAGAGTTTTAACAACAGCAATGCCTATTTTCCTTCTTATTTGGACACACTCCTGGTCTCCAGTGATTCCATAATCTCATGAAGAAAAATACTCCCCTCTTACCCTCCCCTRAAAGTTTTGTGCCAACAGCGCTTGCTTGCACCTACCAAAGTTATGCCCTGGAGTCATATTGTGGCAAACACTTGTGACATTGAACCTTTTCTTTCTTGCATTGTTTTAAAGTGAATTCTGCATGAACCCTCACAATTGCAAAACTCCAACAACAGAATGGAGGGAGGAGGGATAAAGTGTTACCTGCTAACCCCAGAGAGGGAGGAGCTCCCTACTTCAAACATCATCAGAATTATAAGGAAGGTGTGTACTTAGAGCACTTCCTCAATGTAGAACTTCAAGCACACTATGCTGAAGACCTGTCCTGAGGGTGCTCTAGAAAGTCTCCAGAGGCTCATTTCATGGGGGAAAATCCTACCAAGAACCACTATGCACAGCTTAACCAGGGAGAAGAGAATGAGATGGTGAGTTGGATCTCTGTCTAGGTATTTCTGAGCTTGAAGCAGAAGGTGGCACGTGTTCTGCAATAAAATGCTACCRACTGTAATTGAGTTATTGCTGGTTGGAGTGTTTCCATAGCTGAAACATACAGTTAGAAAGGGATATAATTTTTTTTTTAGCAGAAAGAGAGTAAGGTTGGTTGTGTCCATTGGATTTAACTGCTTATCCCCTCCAATAGGGGATGGCTCAATAGATTGTTTATGTGGTGTTACAAATCTAGATGGATGTGGTTTAATGTGAGCTTGAGGGATGGGCCAGACTGGTGTTCCCAATCATCTGACAGCTGAATCTCCAGGGTCAGCTCCAGGTAGAGACTGGAAACCATGTCTTTCTCCAGAACACAAAACCACATGTTATGTTTGCACAAATTACTGGCAAATGCAGTCTGTTGAATTTGCAGCATTATCTAGACTGAAGCTTGGATTCCTTAATACAGAACTACTATATTTCTTTCCAGAGTTTTCCAGGGAGAAATGTATTTGCATGCATTCTATATAATCTGGAAGTAAGTTCTATGTTTACAGAAAATACCTGGTCTCCTGCATGGCACTGCTCTTAAATAATAGTTCCAGTGCACAATTGAAGTGAATTCAGTGCTTCTGAGCTGTTTTGGCATTACTGTGTGTTGTGGGTCAGCTCTTCCCATGGATTCTGTCCCTCTGATAGATTCTACTGGAGATATCAGATCCATGATGCAGCTGTACAACAACTCTTAGGCATATCTGGTAAATGCAGTGCTTCTCAAAATTCATGTGCTGCAGAGCCACTGGAGCTCTGCTGTGAGCACCTGCAGGATTTCTGGGTGTACAACAGCAAAGCTATTGAAACACAATACTCACAAGTTGATACAACTGTTCACTTTCAGAAATCCTGGAGAACTCTTCGATATCTCCTCACTGAGATTCCTATTCTAGTGAGAGAGMCTGTGTCATGTGCAAAYRTGGATAACTGTTATCTCTAAAGAYAAATGTAGATTTTCAGACAGCTCTYYCAGCCAYTCAGGGAAGGGAAGATGCCACATTTTGCCTCATGCAAACCTGRGTAATCTGGGATRTGCTGGAGAATGCAGTACAGAGTCACCCAGCAGCATGAACTGAGCAGTGCAGGAAACACAAGGCACTGGCTCCGAGGGTGGGGACTAATTAGCTGTGCAATGCAGAGCCCGACTGGCTCTGCTGCCCGGTTACTAAACCTGCTGGCAGCACCCCACTCCTGGCTCTAGCCCTGGTGCTGATGTGCCACTGCTCCCCAGCTCCAAACAGCTGCTGGGTTTGTGTCTGCTCCACCCTGCCCTGTCCTTCTAGGACTATAAACAGCCTGTCGTGTTCTCACCACTATTGGTGCTGTCACCAGCAATGCCATAATTGAGCTGGAGCTAATTAGGTTTAAGTGGATTGTCTGGTGCTGTGTACAGTCACACTATTGTACCCTGAACGTTCCAGCTGTGCACTGCTGGGACACCCAAGCTGTGCTTGTAGGAAGTCAATTATCCCAATGATGTTCATGTTTCTCACCAGTGTCATACTGAACTCACGTGTCCTGAATCTGGTGCTCAGGAATCTGGCATTTTCCATGCACAGCTGGTGTGTGTGCCCAGTGTTGAGGCTTCACAACATGCAGGCATGGAGAGTGTGGCAACTGCCAGACACTCTGGATTAAGAGATTTGTGAAGCACTTGAGTAATAAATGCAATTAAAATATAGCCAGATTATGCTAAATTAGGCAAGAATGCATGTGTGTTTATTACATTTATGTAAGAGAGAAAAGATGTATGATATASAGGAAGATATCCATGAGGATATGAGTATGAGGTACTGTAAGAGGATGAGAAAAAAAAGCAACGTGTAGAAAAAGAGAACAGCTAATGTGTGTATTTGTGTGAAAAAAGAAAAAGTAATATCTAGATTAGTTGTRAAGAAAGAGACAAAGAGAGTAGTTGTGAAGAGACAAAGAAGGCTTTGTTTAAACAGAGGAGTGAAGGAGAATACATGAGGTAAATAGAATTATATGCAGAGGTTCTTTCTTTGTTAAAATGGTATATTTTAAATTACCGACAACCACAAAAACTGGCAGTGGTGCATAATATCTCTGTGACCCTGCAACATCTTTTTTTAAAATTCAAATCCATGAAGAATGTATTTTGTTTTCAACAGTCAGTTTCATCTACTTGAGCCAAATTATTAACAAGCAGTTCTTGACTTCTCAGGCAAGATCAGATCACTCAGTCTAATAMTGTAACATCTGACACTGTGCAAATGCCAATTCTTTCAGAGTGGAATAGTTCAAGTAATCTGAAAGCATGCAAGTAATTCTTTTGAACTCTGGAAGTGCAATGCTTCCCTGTGTTGAACCAGCTGTACAGTTTGCTRAGGCAAGTTGGGGACCTCTAATGAGAAGAAATGCTTTCAAGTTTTCTTCTGTATTTCCATTTCTTGGTRCAGCTGAGATGCTAGATAGTTCTGAATTAATAGTAATCTCTTTGATTTAGAAAATCTACCCCTGTATATMCTCATGTATGTCTTTGGGATTACTTTACATTGCTGCAGAACATTTGCTTGAATGTAATTTCACCCTTCTGGTATGCAGCTAAAACTTAGCAAAGCATAGTCAGAGCAAGAGATAAACTCTCTCTTTCTCCATAACCATTTGCTGTACCAGGAAGATTTTRGTAGTGTGTGAGCACTCTGGACACAGCAGCTTGCCTCAGAGAGGGCTAATAGTATGCTTCCCTTCAGAAAAATCTGCTTGAAGAGTGTTTTGAGAAGAAGCACATTACTGTGGCATAGGAAGAGGGAGGAAAAACACATCCTTTTGCCCTCTGTCAATTTGATRCTCTTCTCTGCACAGCTTAGGAATAATCATTCCCTTTGCACAAAACCTAAAGTGTGAAGCTTAAGTCTTTCAGTGCAAAAGACTTTAACAGGCTACTGCTTCAGGAAGGATTTGCCAGAAGCCTCTCTTAAGCATGTATTTCCCCATTGCTTGTGGCTGAAGGAATGGGAGAACTGCAGTCAGTCAGATGGTGAACCTCAGTTTACCTCTGCATATTGACAGCTGACTGCCTCCTTTGAGATGCTAAAATTCTGAAAAGAATCTGATATGGAATTTTGTATACTTTGAGTTTGAAAAAATGTAGCTTTTGAAATTGAAATAGAAGCTACAAGGCAAAATTTTGTTGCTAATGGAACAATAGTAAATATTGCTGCTGGTTTCAGAGGGAACAGGAACAAACCCTCAGGTYCTGGTTGGTAAGAATGAGATTCAGTTATTAAATTCCTTGTGAATCTTAACCAGTCTTTMAAGTCTAATCCTATTATCTGTTGTTATAGCAACAGGTTGTTCATAATAGAGTACCTGGTGTTGAGTTTGCCAGAAATATAATTGYTCACAGCTACTGTTTAGGCTTTCTGAGGGTAGCTACAGGCTTTGTTTTCACCAAAGAAAAAGGTGTCTGAATTTGTTTGACTTTTGCATTTAAATTCTGCTTTGCAGATGACCTGGCAGTTGGAGGCAATTTTTCTTTTAAACATAAGTAACAAAGACTTGCTGGACACTAGAGTGATAAGCCCTTGAATGCTGGCTTTGTATGGTTGTAAAAGCAGCTAAGAGCCTTTTTTTGCCAACTGAGCAGGTCTGGCAGCTTTTTCTGTCCAATAATCCARGCCCCTTCTTAGACCCTTCACTCACAAGTCAAACCATTTTGTTACAGTCACATTGGGAGTCTCAAGAGAAAAGAGATGTTAACAGATGAGGAAWCAAAATTTTGCAATAAACTACAATTTATTAAAAATTATCCAAGATGAGATGAACACTGTATACCAGCCTATTTTGTAGATGTTGTTACCTCCTGTGAGATAATGAGAAGCCCTTTGGAGTCTTACATATAGCTAATCTTTGCTTTGTTTTTCACCAGCTCCTAGTCTGGTGCACTCCAGAGCCCAGATTATATGGCTGTGAAGTGGTTTATAGTGTTTATTTGGTTTATGCCAAATGCACTCACTGAACTTGCTCATACATTAGAAAAGTTGTCAAGGTGCAAATCTGTATTCATCAGACCCCTCTTCAAAAGAAGCATGTCTGCACCAGCACAATGAAATGAAACACMGCAAAAGTTGTTTCCTTAACCACATAAAACAAACCTGATAGACATCCTCTGACTGGTGACATCGACACCAGGACTTCTGCCAGCCTTGAAAGTTTTGTTTGCCAAGTGGATATGCATGAAGATTTTTGTATCCTGAATAAGCTTGAAGAATTTATAAACCCTAGATATTGTAAGTCATTCACATGGCTAAGTAAACCTGCATCTGTTCCTGCCTTCTTCATGCACATTGTGGACACCTCTGTTATGGGTTGATCATTCACTTATTTTTTGTGGAAGATAATTGTTTTCAGAATTCTTCTAAAGAATTTCATTTTGACGTATTTGACAAGTGAGAAGTTTCTGTTTCAACAAGGAGTTATTCATGTATTAATTTTTTTCTTAATGAATGCAGCATTCATTGCTATAATCCTTYCATCTGAAAGCACAGGGCCGGGAAAAACTCCTCAACCTAACAGAACATTCTGTACTGAAGTTAAGCATTGAAAGGTTCCGGCTCAGGGAACTTTGGCACAAGTCAAGTTGGAACTCAGTCTATTTCCCTGCCTAGCTTTAATTCTCAATGATATAGCCAAGGTAACTCACTCCAGACATTTCCAAACCAAGGGAAAGAGATTTGGGAATGGATTCYTTCATGAACATCCAGATGCATCAGTTAACACCTGATGTTTGTTCTTTCCCAGCTTACTCCTTGTAGAACTCCAGAACAGCTCTATTCAGAAATGTCACACTCGTCAAGACACAAACCAACAAACCTGAACCAACATCTCGGTTCTCATGGCAAATCATRCTCTTGAAGGGTCAGAACAGATCAGTGGTATCCCTCTATCTATCTGTCTGTCTGTCTGAGGAAAGTCCCTTGTGAGAAGCAGCAAGATGCAGCTCACAGCGTAATGGATATCTTGAAGAGCATGGCCTTTTATCCCAGATGAGCTGTTTTCCCTGTTTGACTCTCCTGTTTTTTGAGATGAGAAATACTGATGTATGCTTGGTTTTGGTCTTGAGATCTATGGATTCAAATCACTTTTTTAGTCAAAACTATTCTGGAAGAAAGGGCCTTAAAATATTTGCAGGCATAGGGGGACTCAGACACATGTTTTAATATATTGGTGCATGGTTTCTTGGGCAGAGAAATGCAGAGTCTGCTCTAGCTCTGTGGTTGTGTTGTCATATCAGGCTTGGGGAATCATTGAACAATTGAGTGGAGAGGAGCASTGCCAACAGAAGATGATCCCAAATGACTGCCAGTCACAGGTAGAGCACCCACCCTCTYCTTTCTTAATTGTGTTAGCTATTGCCTTACTGCCTTCTCAGACATTGGGCACAAGGCACAGAAACTGAAAATTACAGGAGTGATTCACGGGCAGAGGCAAGATGCACATGGCAGCTATCTTGTTCTTCCCCACCCTGATATTCATGCCCATCCCAATCTGAAAATATGATTCCAGTTATTCCAGGTCCAGCCATATACTGGARGAAGTCGGAAGGTGTGTTCTTTTAACAGTTCTTCCCTTAGGCATCTCTGTCTCCTTGGGAGATCCTTTGCCTTGCTGACAAGCTGTGAAGYCTGGATCCAAGTGGCTGGATCTTGCTAGGAAGCAGTTGCTGTGAAGAGAAAATTCACATTGTTCTATGTACTGTTCTGTATGATGGTGCTGGCACTAATCCTTTAACATTTTTGTTAAAGATAAACTGGACAGAGTTGAATGGAGATCCTTTGTCTGCTTACAGGAGCATTTGGATATTAACAGCACATGACTACCACACCARCTAACTCCTAGCAACCTCACCTGTCTGCTGTCCTCCATGGGCTTCCTTCTGTCTGCTCAGAGTTGTCTTGTTCTCTTGGTCTGCTCASAGATTGTAGGAGCCTTTGAAAATGCTGTGTGTGCATCTCACAGGTGGTATAACCAGGTCCTGTGCAGTGCAAACCACTTCCCTGTGTTGTTTACTTTTTCCTCCGAGTTGCCAATTTCCTCCCCTTAGAAACCTCTAGGAGATTGCCTAGGATGACAGTCTGTTGTTTGGAGAATGCCACGGAGCAGGTGTGCCGAGGCAGCGTGTGGAACCACTGGGCAGGGCCTGTGTTTCACAAAACAAGCRAAGACACCAGCACAGAAACAGGAATTATGCATTAGTCATCCTTACAATTACATTGCCTTTTCTTCTCACCTTTATAAATGGATCTTGCAATATCTGCAGCTGCAGGTATCTCATCCTCAGCAGCAGATTGCACAGTTGCTGCAGATATACTCAGAAGAAAGGGATTGAGGAACCTTAACCCTTCTGTTAGCAAATTCTTCTGGTCACCTCATGTAATTGCAGACATGGAATCTCCCATCTCAGCTCAGGCTGCAGCTCCTTCATAAATTCACTGTATAGATGTCATTTCACATTCAACAAGTGCCTGCTAGTTGTACTGAGAGGTACCAAGATCTGCAGCTCTTAAAATGTAATGCTGACAGACATCTCTTTGATGTTTTGGGCAAGTCACCTTGCCTCACTGTAACAATTTCCCCAGCTTTAAAAATGGAATAATAACACCTACTCATCCAAATAAAATGAGAAGCTTCCTTCCTTTGGCCCTCTGAACAAGTAAAGCATTCTGCAAGTGTTCATTAAATGTTCTTACTAACAGTTGTTATTATTATTATTATTATTGTTGTTGGAAATTATCCAATGGCACATTGGCAAGCTCCAAAATTCCCATACTGGAGCTGTCATGGAAGATGGGAACAGCCACAAAGGCTGTGTYTGTGCCAAGCTGTGCACACAGCTCCAGCTGGTTCAGGCACAGAGTGTCACTCGGCAGCAAGCAGAGGCGCTGGCTGAGCCTGTGAAGTTTAGATGCATTAATGCAGATCACTTCTGGGGCAGGGCAGCAGCAGAGCTTCTGCTGAAGATGCTGAAGATGTCTCAGCTGCTGCAGCAGCTCTGCACTGATCACTCACCATCCTCTGATGCAGATTTACTTAAGCTCTTCAGCTGTCTCACCCAGGGACTTAAAAAAAACCTGTCCATCAAATCTGCATCAGTGACTTGGAATAAAGGTTTGAATCTCTATGCTTTGCTAGCATTTCTCCTTCTGCACACACAAAGCTGTGTTTCACGCCGAGTTTCAAGCTACAGCAATTTGGAATTTTTGAGGTGGATGAAAAGTTCTWTTGAAGATGCAGGTTTTTGGTAGTCATGTTTAAGACATGTAGAACAGCCAAATACAAGTTCTATGATTTGATTTTCCACAGTACCATACCTAGTAGTACCCATGGGAGAGCAGTGAATGACGGGAGGGTATTCCAGGCAWTTTTTTAGGAGAAATAGTAATGATTTTTCCCTTCTCTTTGCTGTACAGGACATATTTGGCTACAAAACTCAAGGCTGCCGAAAGGCCTTGTGCATTGCTGGATACATCCTGTCCTGTGGGGCTCTGAGGCTGCTGTTTTACTGGAAGCCAGAGTGGGATGTGTGGGTAAACTGCATCCGATGCAGCTTGGAAGAAGCGGATATTGTTCTGCTTAGAACAACAGTAGGTGCCTACTTGAATCTTTAAATTAGTGCCCAGTATGTAGCTGTCTGAAGGGGAGTTAACTGTTAGATATCCTGTTAGCTGAAATCTCTTACACTCTGATTTCTTGCAATAATGTGTACCATTGTTGATCTGAAGAACTTCCAAGTGTTCTACAAATTATGTGTATGATGGTGATGGGAATGGAGGGTAACAGCTGATCAGACAAGATGAAAGACACTGGGGTGATAAAACCCATAATATCTATGGTTTCAAGACTGTGTCTTTTGTTCTCAGTCCTTCCTCCTCCCTTCCACCATSCCTGTGCTTTCTACATTGTAGCCTTGTGCTCCAGATTCTAAAGCCCCTGTTTGTTTGGCAGTATACAGCAGATCCTTTCTCCCTTACCTAGCTGTTCCCCAGAAGATGTCCCTCTCTGCCAGAATTACTTTAATGGGCCAGATTAAAGATTTGTCTAGCACTGTCCCCAGCAGTGTCCAACTGTGCGTTATGAGGGATCAGTACACGGAAGAGGGCAAGCTTACACTGCTTGTTTTCTTGGCTCAGTGTTTCCATTTCCCATCAGCACTACCCCATGACCAATAACCTTGCARTCCTGCAGCTGATGCTTTCAGAGCTGTAATGTTTTGATAGTAGTTTCCTAATACAGGTCTCTATCTGTTGAGGACTGTACTGAAGCACTGCAACATATGCAAACTCTGGTTTTATTTCATGGAAGCTACTGCAACACCAAAAGAAGCAATCTGAGACTTGGTTCTGAATCCCAGCTGAGCCTGAATACTCCAGGAGCTGGCAGGGTTGGTTTACTTCCAGAAATTTGATTTGTTCTGCTCCAAAGATTCCTGAACAATGGCATTTTCAATGTTTGCAATTGCAAAATGGATCACTTGCTGCCTTTGTGTTTGAGCTGCCTTTTTAAATGAGCAGAGCAGAATGAAGTTTAAATCCCAGGTTTTGAAAATCACAGATCTGCCTTTGAATATTTTATAATGGAACAATCTTCATCTTAATAGTCTGGGGGTATGTTCTTTCTTTTTAAAAAATATCATATTAGGGTTAATATCCTCTTTTAATCTTCAATTCAGTTTGCCTTTTTAATTACCTATTCTTGTGTGTAATTTTAAAAACATGTACCATGCCAAACACTTTTCAGATAAATGAGTTTTTAAATGATCCTTTGTGTAATTAAACAGGAATTGAATCATACTGTACGTTCTTGTTATCAAGAAGCTTTCTCAAAGCATGCTCTGGGTGTTTGAGAATTTCAGTTTTCTTCATGATTCTTTGTGTTAAAATGACAGTTTTGTTTTGTTTTGCTACATTCTGATTATATCAGWTCTCAGATATGATGGCTACTGCTAATGAGGATACAAGTAATCTCATCAGCTTGATCCTTGGAATTATCTTTCACTTCACATAAAACYTTCATTCTTAAGTCATCATTATCTCTGCAATTGCAATATAAGAGCCTATTAACTCACTTTTGTTATTGAATTTTGATTCACTTTAGTTCGAATAATGAGCACCTGTGTTATTCACTGTTTCCCATCTCAATTTGCATCCCAATGCCTACCCATTCTGAAATCTAAATTAAAGATAAATATCAGAAAATAAAAGTTATTCCACTCAAAAGACCAGTTTAAGAAAGAAGTGGGCAAATAAATAGGATACATAAACATTATTAAAGTTCTTTTTTGAACRTCTAAATTAAAGGACTCATATTTGGTACAGAAATCTTTTTTACTGCTCTCTTTTCCAATTGAAGTTTCATAATTGCAAAACTGCTCACACACAGAATGTCAGTCAGTCTCAGTTGSCTTTAATGCATGTAGTTCAGTGTTTGGGACTGAAACTTAGCACACTTTCTGCAGCAGTTGCTCTAATCCCTGGGACTGAACTACCAACACTCGTTAGCAGGCAGTTCTAATGTTCAATTTATTTATAAAAAATAGGAAGGTCATGAACTCTGTGGTAAAAGCTTGTCTAAAGAGTCCTAAGGAAGGCACGGTGCCGATGCACTTCTTCCAATGAAGTGTTAACTCAGGAGTGGCTGTGAAAAGGTGCTGGCACTAAAAATCCATTTTGCAGCACAGCGCTGTGTTCCTTTTGATCTTCCCTTTACAGCACGGTCTCTGCATCTCAGATTGTCCTGTGCTGTTTACCTGTCCTAGATCTTGACCTGGTGTTCACATTCCATCCTTATCAGCCAAACACCAGTCCTGTGGTCACTGAAGTAGTTGCAGCACTCACATTTTGACAGGYGCTTCTGTTCTTATTCTAATGATTTTTCTATCAGTCACAAGTGTTGGAAGGCTTCTGTTGGTTAATCCTTAGAAAAAGCTAGAGCAGTAGTCTTGAAAGGCTGCTGTAATCATTCACTCCTGGGTGAAAGTGAGTTTGGTCTGGTTTTGGGGCAAATTGTGACACTTCTCTTCTATAATAATTTAGGATGATTTTCGGATTTACTCTCGTAAGACCGTGACGTGGATCTCCGTGTCTGCATTTATCAAAAGTAGATCAGATTACCCARCTGAGGAAGACTCAATCTTCAGCAAAGCCATAATGAAGCCAAATTTGCAAGTAAGTAAAGTATTCCCTGCAGCATCTGGGAGATGATGGCAAATCTCAGCCATTTCATGGAGTGAAAGTGAGCTGTGATACATGTCCTAAGAATCTTGCAGCTTAGGGAGCGAAGTGAGCTGTGGATAAAGAAGAGAACAGTACTCAACTGTACTTGCCTGTGTAACAATCCTATTATTCTGAGGGGGGTTATGAAAAGAGAATTCTTGCTGTTTCTGAGAGAAATGTTATGTTGTAAGTAAGAGAGCTTCAGGAGACGGGTTGGCAGTGAAGAATCAGTGTTCCAAATAAAAATCATACCTGGCGTAGGAATCAGGGAATTTAGGGGTGATTATGTGTCTGAAAGGAGGCTGCAGAACTGAACACAGCTGTCACAGTAACATGAAAACAGGGATGAATGCAGCTGATGGGGAATAGAAAAATGCCTGAGTTGCATCAGTATTTCCAGAAATGTTTCRTCAACACGTTTTTCTTCCTTGCCTTTCCTTGCTTTTGTGCTTCAAASTACATTTGCTGGTGTCAGGTTAACAGGAGTCACTGTTACTTGTTCTTGCAAAAATATATCCTGCCAGTCTCTGCCAGTTCCAYAGATTTGAGATCCCAGTGATAGACTGGGGAGAGGGTGGACAATTGGTTGATCCAAGGAGATCTCAATGTCCCTCATAAGTTGAGTTAATGTAGTTACTCCCATGTCTAGAACAAGTACCAGACAGTTCATTATGTGCCTTGCTTAGTGTTACATGTTAAGTTTGTGTGAGTAATAGGAATGCWAAATGATCATGTGCTAATATCTGGCTCTTGATTATAGATACTAGAACACTGCACTGAGGAACCCATAAAAGAGCTATTTTCCCTTTCAGGAAATACATTTCTAACTTACTAACATTTCTTTTTATATCTTCAACAATTTTTAGCAAATACTTTTGCTATAAACCTAACTTTTGCTGAGAAAAGCTGTTGCTGTTACTGCTGTGTACATATATTAATGTACATAGGACAATTGAGTACCAATTAGTTTAATCACCTGACACAGTATGAAGAAAGTGGAGACTGGTCTGTGAGATTCTTCAGAGGGTCAAATTAGTAACATAAAAAAGACAAATATAGCCTCAAATTGTCGACCCTTTAAATACCGCTTTCATATCAATAAAAACATCTAGATAGAAAAGACCAGATTTCAAAACAGCAAAGAGAAAACATTTAATCCTTCCACAGCAGATCAAAAGCCCCTACTTAAAAGTCAATTATAAAGCATTTTTGCCATTTAARCCACCCAAGTACACAGTTTTGTATGCCCAAGAGCTGTCCAAGGACCTCTTCCAACAGGGAGCTGAATCCCTCACTTCCCACTCCAGTTTTTAGCATTACAGATATTGCAGCTCCTATTGCATGAAATCCTGATTGCAGCAGTCTTGTTAAATTAATGACTATGGTTACTTGGTTTTGAGTCAGTGGATGAGTTGAGTCTAGATTTCATTGATCTATAATAATGCTTATTGCGCTGGGTAGGGAGAGTTCCCTGGAGCTGATCCCTTCATCACTCATGTGTACCAGTGTCTCACCCTGCCTTCTGCCAGCTGATAGGAAGTGCCATTATCTCTAATAGGTTTCATTATTGTTGCACAGGACAGGACAGACTCCTCTTGCCAGTTATAAATGACAGCGTGTGCTCCTAATGGAGAACTTCTCTGCAAGAGCTTAGCATCAGCAGTGACTCAGTATCCTGGGATGGCCTTTCTTGTCCGTTGGCACATCTTGATGGACTCAGCATCAYGCCAAGAAATGTCCCAAAGACCCCTGCTTTTCCCAAAGCAAGAGAGAAACAAGGGAGCTGTTGGCTGAAGATAGGCTTTTCCAGCTGCCTGTGTACCCACTATGGCATCAGTGATCCTTTACCTTCATTCTGTGAAATCAGAGTGAAGATTATKCCTTTCTTCACAAAGAACACTGCTTTGTACTTGCTTGACCTAAAGATCTGTAAAGCTTACTGGAACCTGCATTGAGGTGGGGACCCCAATCCAGAATTCAACTAGGGAATTAGAGTTTGYAATCCTGTCTTTTCTCCCTCCTTGCCCTCCTCCTATATAATTTGCTTTATCTGTACTTGACCTCAGTGAGGATGCCTAGCTGAGCTCTGTGAGCAGACCTGGGAATATTTTTGTTTACTATGTTGCCTGTGTTTTTGTCCCTGTTTTGTTTTGCAGGTGAAAACTATCCAAGTGCAAAAAATCCGCTATGTCTGGAATATCTATGCACAAGAGTTCCAGAAAGTTGGGTGAGTTCACTGCTCTGGTTGAACAAGTCTCTGAGGAAGTGAAGATTCTTTGTGAAAAATGTCCTAAGGAAAAGACTCCCTTTCTATTTTAGAATCCTAGAAGACCACCACACTTGCTCAGCTATACATGACAAATTTGGTTCTGGTCTCACCTGCAACGAACAGAATGTCAGGTACACATTTTAAAACATGACTACTCAACCTATGGATTTCAAAGAGATGTAAATTCACTGCTGTTGGTGCACTTCCCTGGAATTTCTTGTGTATTTGTTAATATGCACGTAATTTTAGATTAAATGGCCATGCGTGGAAATGTTAAATGAAAAGGGCTAGAGAATGTTGTGTATTCCTTGTCAAAGTTTTTTAAATGTCTCAGTGTTCATCACTGTTATTGTTATCAGGAAATAATTATGTCCTGTAACTAACTATAAGCAGCTCTTATATGGAGTAAGAGAAAGCCTCTGTGAAAGAGTGCAGATAATTTGTGTGTTTGCTTCTTCACTGGGGCTCCAAATCGACTGGTTCTGGTCATTGAATGTATTCTCATAAACTACTGTATCATTAAGCAAGTTACAGAATATCTATTCCTGAAACTGCTAAATAGAGAAATGATCTTCAGTTGATTGAATAATGAAAATCCAGCTCCTAACCTTAGCTCATGTCACATCTTACATTCCAATCACCCTTAACTTTTTGCAAAATTATTTGGTTTTGGRTCATTTAGTTTTAAATGCAGAATTCCTTTCTTTATGGTGTTTCAAAGTAACTTTTGCATGATGAAAACATTTGCCTATAAGGTTGTTTTACACCTCTTGTCCATKTAATTAAATGTCACTGGTACAGTCATCTTTTCTGACATAAGCATTGTAGGGACATTTAATTTCTTTTTCTTGAAGAGAGATCTTCCCAGCCTTTACGCTGGGATCAATAGAAACTCTCAGGACTACTGAAATCTTCAGTTTCTTGAACGAATGACATTGCCACCATTTTGTCTGTAAGTGATGTGTCTTTACCCCATACAGGAGAGTTATATGTGGGCCAAACACTATTGATGTTCCGGTGATCCCTATTTGGAAATTACTCATCAAAGAGGTTAAGTATTCCTATTGCTTTTATTCTAAGCTTCTTGGGGAGGCTGAGTGTGCATAGAATTGATTCTAGATATGATTTAACTTCTCACTACTCACTCTACAAACACACTTCTGTTTCAAATCCTGTTTAAAGCTGTTCCATGAAATCATCATGAATTCATTTATTCTTCATTGTTCCCTACCCTCCATCCCCATGCCCGTGTGGCTGTCTGTGTCCTGRGAGCTCATTCCTTTTGCCTTCTGAGGGCCAGTGAATGTTTCCAAGCTGCACTGGAAATCAAACCTTCCAGACAAGGGCTGTCTCTTGAGCAGCAGAGACAAAGTGAGCAGCAGTACCTGGTGCATGCCTACAGCTGCAGAGAGGTTCAGTGAGCTCATGGTTCTGGGCACAGCATTACACAAAGCACCAATATCCCTTTCAGACAGGAACAGYCTATATGTGGCCTGAACAGGATGTTTGTGGAGATGTGCCTATGGTGTGTGAGCTCCATGCTCATGGCACAACCTGCTCTTCTCTCACCTTTGTTACATTTCTTGCAAGAAGCAAACAAAGAAAGGATTGGGCTGAGTCATTCACATCCCCAACAATATCCTATTGGTCCAGGTTATTTGGCCCTTCTGTCAKATGGAGATGGTCCAATCTGATTAGACTGAAGTCACAACACTTGATGTCTCTTATTGCAGCCCTTTCCTAACAGGTTGGACTGTCTAGGTATGTTGTGGTCATTTAAATGTGGCCAGCTCTTTACCATTGCTGTCTCTCCCAACAGGTCCTAAATCCATTTTACGTGTTCCAGCTGTTCAGTGTGTGTCTGTGGTTTTCTGAAGATTACATGGAGTATGCCAGTGCCATCATAATCATGTCCCTCCTCTCAATATTTTTGACTGTATATGATCTGAGACAGGTGAGACACCTCACCTTTTCCCACAAGGAGGATTTGCTTCTAATATCTGGGAATGGCCAGGATGTTACAACATTTGCACTGTCAGACTTACTCAGAGGTTTAGTCTTGTGACATTGTGTAGTGGCAGGTGTGCTGGCCTGGTCTCCTAGTCATCATAATCTCTGTGTGGTACCTTACCCACATCCTCCCTTCCCCATTCCAGGGCTCACTTTGTCACATTTTGTTACAACTTCTCCATAATTAGGGTGAGGAGTTTCTTGCTCCCTGTGGTTGTATAGTTCCTGGTAGAGCCAGACCCCAGCTTCTGAAGGCTCTCGTAACCACAAATAACAAAAGGAAATAATTGTTAGTGGAAAAATTGCATCATGTAAGTAAGATGTAATACTTTTGTGTGTTCTTCTTTAATTTACAGCAATCCATTAAACTGCACAGACTGGTTGAGTCTCATAACAACATCATGGTCACTGTCTGCAGAAATAAGGAAGGTGACTCCTCTATGGTTCTCTTTTCAATATGTTTTATTTCTGTAGTAATTTATATAAAACCCAAGCATGTGTAGAATCAAATTTATTCTAAAGCAGTTTTCCTCTTCTGTTTCTCAGCTCAGTTAACTCACTTCTGCACATAGAGTTAATTTGACTTAGAAATATGTTGTGGCACATCAGACATATTAACCATTGACTGCAGCCTTAGCAGAAAATTGTCAGGAAAACTAATTTTTCTTAAAGCAATGATGACATAAGCAACAACATAGCTATTAAATGGCTGTGAGGCCACCTAAAAGCTCCATGCAAAGTCTGTTCATTGTTGAGATAKTTAGAGCACAGCACAAAGAGATAAAGCCAACAAAAGAAATGTAGATCCAAGATTCTTCAGTTAGGTCAGTGCATTGGAACAGTAACCATTGGTGGGGCTCCTGGGGAGCTAAGAAGAAATTCTATGGTTGGAACTGATGCCTAGGCTTTTCTAAATATTGGAGGTTGTATATTTAGGTCCTACTTTGGTCCTTTATTTATCAACCATTATAAAGAATTAACGATCTATTCAGCAAGTAGTTCCTTGAATTTTTTTCCCCTTGATATAGAGAAATATATGAAGCACAAAGTTTGCATTACATGTCACTTACAGGTTTCCAAGAGCTGGAATCGCACCATCTCGTTCCTGGAGATATGCTGGTTTTGAAAGAGGGCAAAACCCTTTTGCCTTGTGATGCCATCCTGGTCAGYGGGCAGTGCACTGTAAATGAAAGCATGCTGACAGGTACAGCTCATCCCTCCCAGGTTTGCCATCTGACTCCATCATAGTCCCATGGCCTCAGCCAGTGACACAGAATAGATGCTGKTATCTTATACATCTCTTTCTGTGAGACAGTCCACAGCTGGCCTAGAAGGGGATTCATCTGAGTGTTTGAGATAATAGAGACAAAATTGTTGTTTATTGTCTCAATGGACAAAAATTACTTTTCTACCTTCCTGGGGTGCAGCATTTAGAAAGAGGTGRTCTGATTAGAAGGGAGAGCGTGGACAATGGAGTGAGCAGGACAGGAGGAGGAACAATGGTTATGAAGAGAAGTTGTTCCCACACAGAGCCCACAGGCCACTGTGGCTGCAGGGGTTTCTGTCACTCGCTGAATGTCTCACTGCTGCAACAGCTCCAGCCTGTGGGAGTGTCTGTCAAGCCCTCCAGCCACTTAGCCCCACGTTCCTGTGATAGCTGTGGAGGACACAGCAGGTGGGAGAGGTCACTGGAAAGCAGGATTTCTCGTGCAGGGGGAGGTCATAGTTCTATTACTTGTCTTTAAATTTGGTCTTGACCCAGAATCAAATGGAAACTGACAGTTCTGAAGTTTCATATAAATGAGACATTCCAGAAACACCTTTCATTTAGAAAACTTCAGCAATTACAAAATATTTCTTCTTCACCTTAATATCTGCTTTGAGATAAACAGAGAATTTGTTGCCTGTTAAGCAATGAGCTAAAAACCCTCCTTTTTACTAGGGAGGGAAGATAGGCAATGTCCCACTCCCATCTGTTTGAAGGAATAGTGTAGTGACCTGCACATGAGGTTCAAATTTGGTAAACAAAATTGTGGCCACCAAGGGCAGTCATGCAACACCAATTCAGGTCTCTTTTCAAGTCTCTCTATCTATAGCCAGGGTTTAGAGTCCTTGGCCTGCTTTCAGTTCTCAGATGTACACAAAACTGCTGTACTGATGCAAAGGAAAACTCTTCTCTGGCAGTCTGTTTGCTAAGGTTTAAGCTCTATTCACTATGAAGATGTCAAAATAGAAAAGTAAAATTTCTGTAGACTGTTTTCTCTAGTGAATACCTTTACCTTACCATCTAGATGTCTAGGTACTAATCTGAAAGTCAGTAGGCTGTTATTAAGTGTACTKCAGTTTCCCTCATCTGAGCTAATCTTCCCTAGGGGAAAGTATTCCAGTRACAAAGACCCACTTACCCCAAGCTGATAACCTCAAGCCCTGGAGAGTGTACTGTGCAGAGGACTACAAGAAACATGTTCTCTTCTGTGGAACAGAGGTCATCCAGACCAAGGCAGATGACAGAGGAGTAGTGAAAGCTGTGGTGCTGCGGACTGGTCAGTCAACACTTCATTTCGCTTTTCATTCCATGATTTTTCTCACTGGAACAGTCTGATGATGTATCCAATCACATTCAGTTAAAGGCACTAATCAATATTCACAACAGTCAGGAGAATTGCTATCCTGGGCTGGGCTATGTTATTACACGTTGTTTCTGTTTGTTTGGCATAACTTCTACAAAAACTGCCAATATATGATTATGATTAACTTTTTTTGGCTTTCAAAACATTGAAAAAAATCCTTCCCCCTAAGACAAAAAGAACTCTTATCTCTATTCTGCAGATAAGGTCACATGCACCAAAATTAAACACCTGGGCTTTCTTTCATAAATTGCAGAGATTATAAATAATTTTGAAGGCCCCCATTCCTTGCAGGGAATTTTTTGAAATGTTTTTCCATTGGAATGGTTTTATCTTGTCTTTCCAGGTTTCAATACAGCCAAGGGGGATCTGGTGAGGTCCATTCTCTACCCTAAACCCATGAACTTCAAGCTGTACAGAGATGCCCTCCGGTTCCTGATGTGCCTCATAGCATTTGCAGCCATTGGAATGATYTACACWGTGTGTGTATTTGCACTTAATGGGGTGAGTTACAAAATGCGGGAGAAATGGTCACATCCAAGTGATTTGAAACTGGAGTGACTTCATAAACATTTATATATAAAAACATAGTCTTTGTCACTGTCCCTTTTACTTTAGTACAGTTCACTCATTCTCATAGAGGTCAATGTGAGAACAGTTATGCACTGTAAACAGTAGTTCTGCAAGTTTTAAAGCCTAATTGATTTACAGCTTCTTCATAAGCTTTCAAGAAATCATTTCATGCATGATGATTATCTGCCAATATAAAGTCCAAATCCTGAGTTGCAAGGTTGATTCTGTAATTCAGCTTTTGAATARTTTTTCTCATGGGGAATAATCTACMATCAGTTGGCTCAGAAGATTGTTTCCCCTTAGGATATCAAAGAACGTGTGTTTAAGAACATATTCTGGTGTCTGCTTTGCAGTTTTCCCTTTTTTTTTCTTTTAGTATAACTTCCCCATTGTAATATGTAAAATACATGCTGATGYTATCTCAGCTGCTGAAACTGTCTTGTCAATCTTGTAAGAGTGAATTACAGGCTGCACTAAATGTTTTCTGGAGTGTTTATCTAAAGGTGGGTGGTAAGTACTCAATTCTAATATAAAAGAGATACAACATATTATCAAACTGGGGTGTTCTGTGGTCTGAGACAATATCAATGAAAGCAGAACCAGAACATGATGGAAATTCAGCCCATCAAATGCAACATGATTTATGGTCAAACTCCCAAGCAATAATTGATCTTTATGATGGTTTGCAAATCTTTCTGAACTACAGATTTGCTTTACTTTGCAGTGTCTCACTTCTGGGACCCCAATTTGAAACACATTCAGTTCTTTAGCATTGATATCAGCTGTCCAGCATAATGGTGCCCACACTCAGCATCCTGGCAGTTGATTTTACACTGACTTCCAAACTCCCAAATTATAGATTGCTTTTAGAAATGTAACTGTTACTTTAATCTCTCTTCCTGCAGGTAAAAGCAATTTTCTTTCACAATGCCTAGAACATAGGGTCAGAAGAAATTATTAGCTCATACATTTTACCCTCCTTTTCAGCACCATCCCATATGTCTCACCTGTCACCTTAACATGGAGTCCAGACCTGTGCCTGTAGGCATTTGGATGAATGCCCATGTAAATRGCAGATTCCCACGTGTTGTCTCATGGGAAAATGGGTTTGACTGAGGGTGCAATAATCTAGGTGGCATGTTGGAACACATGTGTTTTGGAGGAGGCTGTGATCTCTACCTGGCAGGTTTGTTTGCATGGAGGATGAATGAAGGCCTGGAGGGTGCTGTTTAGCAGTGATGAGGCTTTAAAGCCTCTGGTTAAATCAAGCTAATTAATTTCTTATGGAGATGAATACATGATGGACTGTGGGCAGAAAACAGCATAGCCTGGAGCACCTTCAGTAGAGGGGAGGAGGGATGAAGAGGGCTACACTCAGTGCAAGGAGCACTCCTTGTCCCTCCCTTCCTGATAACTCTCTTTGTTATTATGCCAGGAGGARACAGGAGAAGTGGTGAAAAAGGCTTTGGATGTTATCACAATTGCTGTCCCGCCAGCTCTGCCAGCTGCCTTGACAACAGGAATCATTTACACCCAGCAGAGGCTGAAGAAAAAGGGCATCTTTTGCATCAGCCCACAGAGGATCAACATGTGTGGACAGCTGAACCTTGTCTGCTTTGAYAAAGTAATGGCTGTGTGGTGGTTGTGCCCTTGTTGGTGATTGGAGATGAGCTGGGGGTGGGACACTGGGGTTTGACTGAGCACTGACCAAGGCTGTGTAATTAAGTTCTTGTCTGAACAGAAGCAGTGGCAAATTCTTGTTTTTCTTGGTACCTAGGAATTGTCTGGTAGCCCATTTGCTCTGCGCTGTGCTGGCATTTTCTGGACAGTAACTTCTTAAAATAAGTCTCGCTTTTTATTCCTCTTGGAGCTCTCATGTGGGAAGTTAATTTAAATGTACATTTTAACTTAGACTGGCACCTTAACAGAAGATGGCCTGGATCTTTGGGGCTTGCTGCCCTGTGAAAGAAACTGGTAAGGCTCCTTGACACGCCGATGGCATCTAAATTTGGTGGGATAGTGACTGGATTCTCCTACTAGATATGTGAACAAATCTGAAAGACGGGTCATGTTAAATAAGTTAAGTTTGGAGTACCCCGTGTTTAAATTTTTTATTTTATTTCTGTAGCCTCTGGAAAATGAGTTGTTTGCCTTATCCCAGGGATCCTGTTCCACATGAAAAGAGGCAGCCACTGTTGCCAGCATTTGGCACAGCATAACCAAGCAGACAGTMTGCAGTAGACAGGCTGGGTTAGCTCTCAAAGCTGCAGTGTAACCCCAACTCTTTATGATAGGAAGTCACTGCTACTCACAAGATTGACACTCTCTTCTTTCAGTGGCCTTGATTTTGCCTRTTTTCATTTCCAGAAATGTGCATGCACAGAGTTGCTCAAACTYGTATCAGCTTCAGAATTCTAGAGTCCTTGCAAGACCCTTAAGGAAAATGTTTTAGAATAATCTTTTCCTCTCTCCATCCCAATGGACTCCTGAACTAGGCATAGCACACCTGTTCTGAGCATATGCATCCCAGCCTTAACAGATGCCTGAAAAGTAGTTCATGGGGGAGGACAAGTCTCCAGAATATGCAAGTGGTCTGACCTCAGGATGGGACTTTCAGTGCCCCAAATTTAGGATTTTTTTTCTTAGGATTTTTTTAGTCTTATGTTGTTTGGTGTTCTCTGATAGTAACTCTCATGTTCTTGTTTACTTTAGCTTTCAGGATGTTCACAGTTTCTCTGCAGACCACAGCCTGCCTTGGGGCCCAGTGTTCAAAGCAATGGCAGTTTGTCATTCATTAATTGTTTGGGAGGGCAAGATCCAAGGAGACCCACTGGATGTGAAAATGTTCGAGGCCACTAACTGGGTAAAGCTGTGCTTTGTTGTTATGCAAACAGCAGGGACATCACCTTGCCATCTCAGCTTTAGGCAGGCACCCATCAAAGTTACAAATGAAACAGGGATTCTGTTAAATAATTCCTGTGAAACAGGAATAACTTAGTGTACTTAGACACAAAAAAAAATTTTGTTCTTCACAATCATGGTGTGATGATAAAAGTATCCAGGTGATTTGTGGAACACTTTAAGAGCAGAGCTTTTTACATTAATACAAATTATTGTGTATTATTTTCTCATTGAGTCTATGTTATGTCTAAAGATTTTTGTTTATTTTGTTGTAATGAATGAAGGATTTATTGTCAGTGAGAGAACATAATCTATTTGTTTTGCAAGGGTAYCGTGGTGTCTTAGTGAACCTGGTGAGGCTTTCTATTTGATTKCCAAGAGAGGCAGTGGATTCTCCATTATTGGAAGATTTTAGTTTGACATAAGACAGACCCCTCACAGGAATGAATAAGATACTTTGTTTAGAGGGAAGGAAAGCTCTAAGTGCATCCTTCCGGTTCCTTTCAGCTATACTGGTGTTGCAGTCTGAAATGTTTTTGTCTTTCAACACACAGGCAATAGATGATTCCAGTGGACACCAGACTGAAGGTCAAGGATCCACACATGCCACAGTTGTGAGACCTGGACCTAAAGCCACCACTGTAAGCTATTTGTGAGATTCACATCCACAAGTTAGGCTGTCAGTGTAAGGGTTACCTTTCAGTATAGGAATGCCTGGGGATCTTTGTCCAAGAGAACTCCTCCCCACTCTGTCTTTCCTKTGCTGTCTGCAGAGAGATTGCCCTGCTCTCTCTGATCACAGATGCGTGGGGGAGTTTGCTGCTCACACCAAAACCAGGGGGATGCTGGATTAGAGACTGCCCAGCTCAGGGATTTGCCTGTTCTGGTGGCTTGAGACTCAATCTGAATTCAGCTGAGAGGGGAAATCAGTGGAGTCTGGTGGCTGATGTCAGACCCTTACTGGTGATGTACACTGGTGGGGCACTTTCAAATAAGCATTTTTCCTTTACAAAACCAGTGTAAGACCTAACACAGTCTTTCTAAAGGAATGGGACTAGTGAATTCCTTTCAGTAAATTACATTTAACAGTATGCTAAAACTGCCAGTGAACTTTTCTTCCTGCTTAAAATTTCTGTACAAATTTAGTATCATCTTAATATACTGATCATTCCTGTCCAAGTGTGACAAATTAGCCCATTACACACGGTTAGCCTCTTACCATGGCCCAAAGGACAGACCTAAAATCCTTCAGTCTGAAGTTAAAGTCCTTGCTGCAGTGTGTAATCCACTTGCTTTTCTCCTAGGCCCYAGTGGAAGGAATTACCATTTTACATCAGTTTCCATTTTCCTCARCCTTGCAAAGAATGTCTGTMATTGCTCAGGAAATTGGTGGGGATCCACAGGTCTTCACAAAAGGGGCTCCAGAAATAGTAGCCATGCTGTGTAGAGCAGAAACAGGTAACTATCATTTATRAATGCTTTCTAGAAACACATAAGTGACTTTTGGTGGGGCAATAAAATGGAAGGTCCAAATCAGATTTCCGTGTCTAAGATTTCAGCCTGAAAAGTGTCTCTGTTGTACTCCAAGGCTAAGCTCTCACACAGCTCTTCTGAACAAAGAAGGATTCCTAAGCAATAAAAACAACTACCAATTCCTGTACAAGTGTATAGTCTCTATCAGAGTAGATATTTGGAAAAGTTATTTATAGGTCTGCTCACCCCTCAAAAATTTCTTTTTTTCCTCCAAATTTTGGGAGGGCATCTTGAGAAGCACAGATCTTTCATGACACCCCTGAAGAAGGAAGTCTTTGCAGAATAGTTTGGGAACTAAATTCAAAGTGATAAGGGGGGGGGCAATGATTTTCTTACTGGAGAAAATTAAGTTCAGCTCCTTTCTTTGATGTGCTTGGCCTATCAGTAGACTCTAGGTCTACAGGCCCTCTGGGACACAAATCCTCCTTGCTCCAAGGCTTGCTTCTRTTAAAAAGCAGTTAAATGCTGCGATGAACTGTCTTTTTATTTTTTCTCTTTTTTTCTCTTTTGCACAGTCCCACTGAACTTTGAAAGCAAGCTCCTGCTCTACACAGCCCAGGGCTTTAGGGTCATTGGACTGGCCTGTAAATGTCTCCAGGCAGGGAAGCCTCCTGCAGCTCTGACAAGGTAAGGCACTGCCAAGAGCAGGGTTGTAGTACAGATGTTTGTTAGATTCAGGCTGGAGGGAATTTGATTTAAATCTGGCTATAGGTCTGACAATAGGTAAAGGGCATCTTATAGCAAAATCCCAGAATCCTTGCACATTTCTTAACTTTGGATTCACATAGGAAGCATAACTATTACGCACTGAAGACACCCTCCTCATTCCATCACTTCCACCAGTCTCCTTGAAGATTTACCCAAGTTCTCAGTTGAATTTTTCTTTTTTATTATCCACRCTTTTTGGTTAAGCAAAGGCAGCATTATTGTTCTCTAGCCCAAAGTCAGCAAGCTGTCTTCTGCTGTTTTCCTGGTCCAGTCCTTTAACATTCTAGATTTGGCTCTCTTTAGTTTCTAAAGAAATCAGCAAATTCTTCTATTATGCTGATGGTATTATTTTTTTTCATGAATCTCACAAAACAATACTTGTACATGAATCCATGTAGTTTTCCCCAAATCCGTTTTGCTTTTGCCTGTGACGTGAAGAAACACCACTTCTGAAATATCTGCAGTTACTGAGAATCTGCTGTCCTCTCTCTTTACCAGCTGCAGATCCTAATCCAGTGAAAATCACTTGCTTTTTCACAGGGCTTTTTGCTTTGCTGAAAGGGCCAATGACACTGAGGCAAAGTGGTTGCTTAACTCTTGTGACAGGTGTCATAACAGACCTATCCAACCCAGCGAGCAAATGTGTGTGAAATGGCCCAGATTTTGCAGTTGTGTGTGCATTTACAGCATGTGTGATGTTTATGCTGCCAGGAGAAAGGAGAAAGCTGCTGATCAAACACAAGATCTGCACTGAAAGCAGTGACTATTSAGGCACCACCTGACTCAGCTGTGCMATGAGAGTGTTTGGCATCRCCTTCTCCCTGGTGGCTAAAATAAGTGCTTGAAAGCTTTTCTTCTTTTCAGATTCTTCAGAGTCAACCTGTGTCCCTGAGAGACCTCTAGTTCATGACTCAGGGATGGGGTGTTTACCAAATTCTCAACTGCTTGAGTTCGACTGTAAAAAAGCAATAGCACAAGTGAAAAGGAAAATGTAGGGGAAAACAGAATTGGAGTTGCCACATGCTGTGTGCTCAGGTCCAGCTGTCAAGAGGAGTAGATATATTAACTAAGGTGTGTTTCTTTGTGGTACAGTCCTCAAATGAAAAAATCTAGTGTGCAGGAACTTTCAAAATCAGACCACCACAGTTTGGGAGTCCTGCAGGAGATTCAGGATGCTGGTACTGAGTCAGCACTGCTGGTATTGAAACAGCAYCACAAAAGACAGATATCCTGAGACTGCAGAAAATAGGCAAATTATTTTAAATCTTTTGAGTTAGGTAGKRTGGTTGATARTTATAACTGGCTATMACCAAATCCAGTGGTGATAAAGGCRAAATAAATAATTGAATCTGTCTCTTTTTGATTGCTAGGGAGGAGGTAGAATCTGATCTGACATTCCTSGGTCTGCTGATAATGGAGAATCGATTAAAGAGAGAGACAAAGCCTGTCCTGGAAGAGCTCAGTGCTGCCTGCATCAGGAGTGTTATGGTCACAGGTATCCAAAAAATGTGGATTATTTGTGTGTCACAGCCCAGACAGGGTTTAAAGGAACAGTCTGCTGTTGTCTCCACCACTGGTGGGAAGGCACAGATATTTAATCCAAAAAACATTGGTGTTTTAATAGTGACATGAGGTGAACCATGCTATCACCAGGCTGTGTCTGATTCTGATTAAAGCATGTCATGCAAGATCCCTTTTATATAGGGCCTCCAGAAATGAGAAGAGATGGATCATGCGTGCTCAGGACAAATCTCCAAACCTTTTGT